GTTCCCTCTCCAAGTACAACTTAAGTTCACCCTTTCAAATTCAGCCTTGAGGTACGCGTGGTTCTTAAGTACTGACACTTAAAACTTTGACTGAATATCTGGCTGAGTAACAGGTCACTTTTAAAGAGCGATCGTTAAATGGAAATTGTACATCTACTTATGCAAAATTTATGGAGATTTATGCAAGTGATCGCAAAAGGTAGGTGTAAAGCAACAGGCATTCATGCAGTTAATGACCTGACTACTTCAAGTCCTGTGCAAAAACGCATGATCGCACGGGCCCGCCCGGTGCGTTCCAGCCTGGGTTATTTAATGCAGACTATATTTTATATTATTTTTTGCAAATTATTTATGCTTTTTATTTATTGCACTTAAACTTTGTGCGATATGTATGTTTTCTAGCTTTGATCGTATTTGTCTGGGGGAAGGCTTCCAGCAATGGTAAAATTCTCAAAAACAAATTTGTACTGAAAAAGCTTTAAAAATTAGTACAGATATTCCATATAAGTGATACTACTGCTACGCTTTTATGTGTGCAATGCAGTTACAGCAGGCTTTCCGATCCTGGGTTTCATACCTCCAGTTAGTACCCATCGCCTGTTCGATGTATGTACATCACTTGATCCGGAGCCTCTCTAAATGGTCATTTTATCAATGTGTGGCGGTATTTTAGTTAACTGTTAATTCACAGTTAGTACTTGAAGTTTTACAACGTTTGCAGGGTAATTCAAATCCAACTACCAAGCACGGCGATGAGTACATCAACAACATCGCCGCCACTGCCAACTGCTACAAGCACTGCCTTGACGATCCACGATCGCCTTTGTTTATCCACTGCCGAGAAACGCATTCGCAATAGGAGCCTGTGCAGCTTACTCTGGACACCACCACTTTATCCAGGATATTCTGCAAAACTGAATAAATCTCCCAAAACATCCTGGCAAGCCACTGTTATTCCAGAAATTTTATCGTCTTCAGCAAATCCGCTATTACCAAATTCATCATCCGCTCCTCGTTCCCAAAACTCACCCACTGCTGTTATCACTGGTAATCCTACTCAAACAGCTGATGTTTTTAAGGTATTAGCTTTTTTTCGAGAAACAAAAGAAAAATCCCGGAAGCACTAATGAAACATTGAACACAGATCTTTTTCTTTCCAGGAAACGAGTAATAAGTCTGCTGCTTCCTTTCTGTATTAATCTAGCAATACCTTCTACTTTTAGATAACTAACATATATAATTAAAATGTTTGTGTTATTAATATTACGATATAATCGAAATGCTACTCGACAGACGTAATGTCTTTCTCCACTCCAATCTGAACACCGATCGAGCCGGTAGTGAGGCAAAACGAGTTGCGTTTTGCTGTCTAACTTAACTTTTGAGTTGTCAAATTTCTAATTTTAATTTTTTTCTGCTGTCGTTTTTTTTTCAAAAGTTGTCTATACCAGGATAAACATTTCAGTCCTCTCAACTGCAACCAGGTGAAAGCTGTGAAATTAGCTGGAATAGCC